TCTTCTGGGAGAAAAGCAGATTACTTCCTACTCGCGAGCGCCCCCTCTGGTGGGGAAACTTTTTTTTTCAGGGATACAAACTTTTTCAGAACACTGGTAGACGGCAGCCATTACAGACGATCATGTTTGTTGTTGTTTGAGGAGCGGACCGGTCACACACTAATGTCATTAGATCGTTATCATTACTAAGGTGCAGGACTGCTTTCGCCTTTTTTTCACATCATGTCACCTGCCTGGATCTGTTATTATCTCGCTCTGAATCACAGAGGAGTGTCAGAGGTGAGCTCYTTTCAACTGCTTTTACGTGGTGGTCTCATTTCCGGACTCAATAATTTTGTGAATGAAGACGATATTTCAGTTAAAATACATAAGTAAAAATATTTATCCGAGTATAATTCTACCCCCCAACTTTATGGAAGATTTCATGGATTTAATTTTACATATTATACGTGAATAAATACGGTACTTTTAAAAACCAACTCTTCGGTCCCTGGTGAATTTCCAAACTACGCCAACTCATAAAAAAATAAAAACTCCACTGTCTTCGTTTCCATGTTTATTTTCCTGCCTGTGCATTGAATCCTGGGATATCCTCGGCCGCATGAGGAGGAGCCTTCGAATTGGGACAGTACTCCGTGCAGGGCAGAGAGYTACGCGGCCGACAAATGCGCACTCATGAAGACCCAGCCCATGAAATGAGACASAGCCTGTACATTACCAAATCCCATAAAAACAGATTTTGCTAAATAAGTTATCAGAACAAAGCCTAGTTTTTCTAGGAATCAAACAGAAAATCAGAGTAAATTTTACTTCAAACCTGTAAAAAAATCTGAATGAATATGAATCATAACTTGACACAGGAAGGTGTCATGAAGTTTGAAGTCCATAAATTATGTTTACATGTTGCCAATCATTTTATTTGAGTCATTGTTCTGTTTTAAACTGTACATAAAGAGTTAATAAATCAGATTATTTTACTATTAGCATTACTTCCTCTTTAAAGTTGCCCCAGTCCAACCAATCACAGCTAAGTCCATCTCCGCCCACAGGACATGTTCTGCAGAGACCCCTGCTTTATACCTCAGGCCTTTATGAGGAACTGAGGACCACCTGGACTGGACCTTCAGCTGAACTCAACCCAAGAGCAGCTTCTGTTTGGAGGGAAGGCTGAACTTACGGGAGTAGCTGCCGGTGAAGCCCGCCTGAGTCAGACATCTCTGAAGCTCCTCGGCGTCGATCTCACCATCCTGCCAGGAAAGTTCAACTACATCAGATCCATCAGACAGAAGAGCACTAAACCAGTAACTCAGGTAAAGAAAAATAACTCCATTAGATCTGACAGGATGAAAGCTGATGTTTCTGAGCAGCTGTAGCAGATTGAACAGAGGACAAGTAGAGTCATGTTTCATTAACACATCTGTGAAGACAACCAGCTGAGGCTTGTTGGACTATAAACACCAGCTAACAGTTACAGTCCTGTTATAACAGTTACTTGTCCTGTTATAACAGTTACTGTCCTGTTATAACAGTTACTGTCCTCTTATAACAGTTACTGTCCTGTTATAACAGTTACTGTCCTCTTATAACAGTTACTGTCCTGTTATAACAGTTACTGTCCTCTTATAACAGCTACTGTCCTGTTATAACATTTACTGTCCTGTTATAACAGTTATCTGTCCTGTCCTGATGCATCTCAGTAATCCAGGTAAAAAATCAAAAAGATAAAAAATTGT